TCTCAGCTCAATAAGAATTTTTTGACGAAAAAGGTCTGCTTTTTTTCCCCCAACAATAGTTTTGTTCGACTTCCTGCAGTGCATTGTACTTGAAATAGTTCACGCTTCTGTTACAACAACGCAAGGCATATGTCGGGCTGCGAACCGCTTTTCAGTAACGCGCGTCGAATATGGTGCGAGCCCGTGGTCGACTACTGCAATGCACTGAACCTCACGCCTAAATTCTTTTGTGAGCACTTGCGCCCGTCTGGAAGGATAAGAGCACTGACCATCGGCTGACCTCGCAAGCCTTGTACAGGCAATATCTCGTTAATTAGGCCACTATTCTGGATGGAAGTAGCATGCGTGTCGCATCCCAAAAAGGGCTGATTGCCGCAAAGACTTTATCTCTCATCCCTTACCTTTATGAGCTCAAGAGAACGGGAATCCCAGTAATGTGGAGTTGCCTAGTAGTGGAAAAAAGGTAGGGACCCTGAGTACCTGCTTCTTGCTTCTGCTTCTTCTACATTTTTTTTGTTAGAAACGCTCTCATCTATTGCTCCATTTTACTTTTTTTTTCGACGCACATTCAACGAAAACTTTGTAAGCCTAAATTATAACTGCTATTGCTACAAGTGATGTAAGCGGAGTTCAATAGGAAGGTGTATACGCTTCCCTCCCCCAGTGATTTTCGCTACTCGTTCCAGCACATCCAGGTGCACACAGGAATATGAATTTTGCTTTTGTGGTTCCTAGTAAGGGGGGGGGGGGAATCGTATTCTGTTAGGTTGTTCGGGAAGTGATGCGACACTTTGACCAAATTTTTCGGACTAAATTTTCCTTCACTAAAAGACATCTCCAATCTACGAGGTAACCGCAGTTGATGACTAGGACTAGTGCCCTTCTTTTGCTTGCACAGCTTCTCATTTCCATTATCATAGAACACGGCAACTATAATAAAAAGAACCATTCTCGGGTGGAGGTCGATTTTCGGAATTTTTGCTTTTCAAAGGATGCAATAGGGACCAAAGGCGGTGGTAATTAGAGGCTGCTAATTTTGTTAAATAACCTGGGTACGGTCACGTTCTCTGATCGAAATCCATGATCTTTTGGCGTAGCCTGATCCCCACATGCGGTCTGCGCATTGCCGAGTAGTAGAGAAAAATTGAATATTTCCGAATGAATTCAAGCGTGACGTCATCCATATTTTTGAGGCGATTAAGGTGGACTGTGGTCCTTACAACGGTACTACTATCCAGTGATACCGCTTTGAAGTCCCACCAATAACACACTGAATCTGCACATTTTTTTGGCTAAGCAATCTTTTTTTCTGTTTGAGAGTTCCTGCGAGGGACATGTGCATGATGTACGCAAGGACTCCACCACTCGCTACCGACCACAAGATCTCACAAAAGTTCTTTCGCTGTGTACAAGGAAAAGAAAACTCAGTCACGGTCATTCGGTATGACTTGTCAGACCGGTCCAACTCATGAGGCATCCTTCACAAAAAAATTTTCCGAGAACCGAGATTGCGGAGAAGCAGGCAGTTGCCAGTTAGGTGGAGCCTAGAGAGATTGCCAACTTACAGGTGGTTACCTTCGGCTGCGCCTCAAGAAGCTTGAGGAAAGGGCCGTCATTCTGTGCTGGTGGGCGACCTATACATTGCCTAACTACAAGTAATAAGTCTAGCCCGGAAGCGCTGATGCAAAAGCTACCCTCTGCCATGGCAAGCGATATCCTTCCTCAAGACAGCGTGAGTGTTTGCTTCCCCGACTATGGCGGAGTGGCCCTACAGGAACTCATAACATGGGATAGGTCGAAAAGTACCTCGATCTCTGAGGGATCTTTTAAGCTTTGAAAGCTTCCACAAAGTCATGATATACCCATGTGCAGAAATCCCAGAGGACAGTCTCCACTTATCAGGGGTAAAAACATCCAAAGTGATTTTTGGCCTTTTCCTAGAGCAATTCAATCAAAGTGTCGCAGGACTTTGCGAACAGCTAATAGCTAAATGGACTGCTGGCATTTGGCAAGATGAAAAATTGTCTGCATGGTTGATTTTTGCAGTGTCGGTGGCCGTCCCACGTGCAGCCTCTTAAAGACAGTGAGCACGATAATTTGTTACTCGGCCTGAAGTGGTAGCAGGGTGATATAATGGGAAAATGGCGAAAAAACGAAGAACCTACGAAGAAAGGATTCGTTTTAATGACCTAGAAAGCAATTTCGAACGAGTTCCCACTAGGCATCTTGCCAATAATCGCTACAGTAGATATGGCTGCACGTATGTAGATTCTCATACATCCATGCAGCACCGCAGCCTCTTCATATCCCTTCTCTTCAGCGCTTGCTCAGGGGCGCGAAATTCCGCCCTGACAGGCGTATTAATCTTGCTCTTCTTAGGGATTTAACGTCCAACTGCCTTTAAAGGTCAGTAATGCCTCAGTTTTTTGTGCAATGAATTCTAATTGCTCTGTCTGATAGTTGATCACATGTTACGCTTCCTCTCTCTGCGGTCGACGGGTGGTATTATATTTGAGGAGAGGGGTCATTTTGCAATACTGTCACTCAGCTATTATAGTTCTTCATGACTTATGCAATAATAAAATGTGAGGTTGCGCTATTAGAGGATGATACTGCAAAATATAATGTTACATACATATTTTAAGGGATGGCGATTTGCGCAGAGGAAGTTGAAAAGGCCCGGCAAAGATTTGCGGGAAGAATTCATCGAACACCGGTTATCACTTGTCAGAGCATCGATAAAGTTGCTGGTACGATTTCTCAATGATTTTTAGTTTTTAGTTCAAAAATTTCTTTGTTTATTATGAACGGACTTTCTCACGTTGGAAATGCATGCATAGCTACTAATGCTGGTATGGTAAGTTATTGATTCATTCGCGTCTCTTCCAGTTTCAATCCTCACACACTCTAGTTCGCTGCGGTTGGATGGGCGTGTCAGGCAGTATGAGTGTGCCACCCCGTCAAAGCTGTTCTCTGCCTTTTTGTTGAAAGCGCATGCCACAAAAGGTGGTAGAAAACGAGCAATAGGAACGATATGATACAGTCATATCATTTGCTCGCTTTAACACTTGGTGAAGAACGGGTTTGGCACTGCGCCAAACTCATCCCACCTGACACGCCCAACTGTCCGCAGCGAACTACCCTATATATCCTTTCATTTTATAAACCAGTAACTTTGACCCCATGTAGTCGCGTTTGTATGTATGTACCTGTATGAATGTTTACAGTCCTCAGCATTGCGCGACCGGTGCGGGCGTGGCGACGCGCGCCGTATTTGGCTTGCGTTTGCAAAGTCGTTCTGCACCAGCCTCCTTTTGAAGCGAACAACTGCATTTACTGTATAATATCCTTACGTATTACTCGTTTTACTACATCTTTTGTCGCATACGCGTTCGCAACAAATAAGGCTGAGAAACGGCCTTCAACAGTGTGCACACTCCTTCTTCGCCGACACGCCCCACCGCTGTCCGCAATGATGAGGACTGTATGTATGTCCGCCAGCATGCTTCACAGGTTCGAATTAGTGGGAGGAGAATAAGGACGCTAGACATACCGGGAAAACTCGATTAGTGCAGATGTATCAATCCAATGTTTCGATTGTAACAGCCATCCGCGTTACAAGACACACCATTCGTACATCTCGCAGCCAATTACAGCGAGCTTGCTCGCCTGGAACGCATGAGCTCGCGCGTCTTGGGTTGCTCCATCGTTATTACGATTTCGATCAAAACAACGTAGTATGAGCAGCTAACTGAATAAACAAATTTCTTTAACATCATGAACGGTGCCGGCTGATGAAGCAAGTCAGCTAAAGAGAAAAGGAGAGCTCGGCGTCAGCCGGGCGATCCGAGCTGGTAATTAATATAAATAATTACACATATAGGCTAGATATGTATGAGATTCGAATCTACGGCTTGTAGTTTCGCTGCAGATGCGAGGGGCATTTCGGGGAGTGAAAGGGGGGGGGGGGTCAGCAGTCTCTAGCGGACTAGTTGCAGGGGCAGTCGAAAGCATTGGGCCAGCAGTTGGAAAGGGTGAAGACGGGCCGCTCCATTGCCATCTCCGCCCTCTTCTTCCCCCCTGACACTGCCCTGAATCCGCAGAAACAAGACCTGTCATATGAGCGTCATACCACTGCGAAATCCATCGCAACCATGCAAAAAAATGCTGCTTTCTGCGGGAGCATCGTCATCGATGTTGATAGGAAGAGCGATCGCATCTTTCAGCTGTCCCCCTCAAGCGTCTTCAGCCTGCCCTTTCGACTACTTCATGCTGTAAACGGCACACTTCAGATTGCCTTAGCTGCTAGCGTTCCGTCGCATGCCAGTGTATCTGTTTAGCACGGCGGTGCCTGACCAGCTGACCTGTCTCTTAGCGAAAAACCAAAGGGAAACCCTTCAGAAACCATGAAAGCTTAAACCACTCATTTCCGCATTTATTGTTAGAGCTTGCATGAAACAAAGCGAAGGATCGAGGCTGCTTAAAATGAGCAGCTCGTCGCCTTCGCTCAATAATTTTGATTACTTCGTGTACTTTGAGATCGAAAAATGAATATTCATCTGGCGATCTCAAGTACTCATATATCCATGTAGCACCGCGGCCGCCTCTCAGTGCCTCCGCTTCAATATTTCTACTCAGCAAATGAAGCAATACTGAACAGACATGGTGTCCGTTTGTAGGGGGTTAAGGCGGTGTGCGTTTAGGGCGATGTTTTTGGCAGCTTAAGGGTAAATTCCTTGGGAAATGCGCGCAGGGAAGAGGCGCGGAATCACCACCCCCCCCTTTACCGGCGCATCTATCCTACTTGTCTTTAGGAAATATCGCTCACGCTGCCCCGCTTGAAAGAGTTAATAACATGATTGAATGCAAAAGGAGCAGCTAGGAGAATTGGTAAATTTCCCAAACTCACATAAAAAGGGCCTCTCAAAAAAATCGTAGTAGCGCATCATGGTAGTCCACAGTGAAGCAGCTGTTGTTAAGGTTGCAACAGTCTTTCATGAATGAAATGCGAACATCTACAGAAAACTGGCAGTTTCAAGGCACGTGGAGCGCTGAACACGGTGCAGAAATTGAAAGACGAAGGACCGCTTGAAGGAGTGGTTCGTTTCTTTTATGTCTACTTCTCAAAATGTGACGTTAAACGGCATTTCTCATTCTTTACTGCATCGCTCTCTGAAAATCACGCCCGAATCTTACGGACTTTATAGAGAGGCTTACCTAGAACTTTGTCTCTGTTGACCTCTTTAACACGAACTTCACACCGGCTTGTAACGAAACCGCCTGTCGCCCATGCAGCGAGCGTAAGGTTGGAACAGACCCATTTCCATGCCGAGTGGATGAAACGAGTTTAGGGGGAGGGGGGGGCTGCTAAGAAGACCCATCAAGCGCAGTGCCTCTCAAGTTGGTGTTCGTCTGTTTCACGGCTCATGTGCATAACCTTTTTCTTATACCCGAACACTTTTGAAATCACTTATCGGATCGAGAGTTTCACATTTTTTTTTGTTTTGTTCTTTATTTTCTTTCCCACTTCGTTACTCTGAGAACATTTTCATCTGTGAAAGACAGCCACATTATCATAACCGCTGCCTTAATACAACGCTTCATCGTGTGGCTGATATCGTCGCAATTCGGCAGTGTGGTGCTGGCAGATGTGGAATGAGCCCGCCCGCGTCGTTGTCACCACCGGCAGTTTCCTTTCTGAACCGACCACTATTGATAGAAAACGTGGGTGGGCTCATTCCACGCCTACTGATGCCGCACCGCCGGATTGCGAGGATATCATTTGTCTGTCGTATCATATAGATTATACCAGTTTGGCTAACGCGCAGTACTGCGCGCATGATTGAACCTATGGTATTGTACAGGGGGGTTTTCTGCTGGGCACAACACTTGGCCCAATTCCCATTTTTCGAGATACGGGCCCTTTCATCGTATTTTTCGTTTTTAATGAACTTTACCAATAACTGGCGCCTATCACATTTTTGACAACATTCGCCCATCGTTGGAAATAGGACAGCCTAGCGGTTGCAAGAGTTTCGAGGGTAATAACATCGATATCATGGTGAAATGCCTCACATCCTATACATCATTTGAGCAGTTTTCGGGGCTTTTACTTTTTATTGAAACTCTACAGTTTAGCGGTCGAATCAAATCCGACTAGGGAAAAGCCCTCGTCAGGCACTATCCGAACTTATCTCCATCAACTAATGTAACCTAAGCACCTCTAAATTAATTGCTGGAAGCAATAGTCCAGTAATGCTTCAACTATGTTGTGAACTTTTGGGGCTATCTTATCAGCTGTTATCACGTCCTGCCACCCACCGATAATGTTCCCATCTTGCCCCTATCTTGCTTCTTGGAACCAACGTCCTAGCGTCGCTGTGAAGCATGTTGTCAGGTTGGTCACCCTTCCTTTCTGAGTCTCATTATATTATCTTATCAGCTCTTATCACTTCCTGCCAGCCATGAATATTGTTCCCATCCTGCCCCCTGTCTTATTTATTAAAACCAACGTCCCGTTGTCGCCGCGGCCGGCGCTGTGACTCTGGTGACTCTCCCCTTGTAAGGCTCCTCATGGTAATCATTATCGAGCCGTTATCACTTCTGCCACCCACGCAATGATGGTTCCCATCTTACCAAAATCCTACTTCTTGGAACCAAAGTCCTAGCGTCGCTGTGACGCGCGTTATGGAAGGTGATATTTCCCTTCTAAGGCTCTCCATGTTATCTCTATAGCTGTTTATCACGTCCTGCCACCTACAATAGTGTTCCTGCCCGACCTCCTACATCACCTATCAATTTGAGCGCTCCACTGCTGTTTTGAGGAAAGTTATTGAATTTCCCGGTCAAACACACATCACAAGCACACAACATTCACACACACAGTTAAGTTACACTTTATTAAATTCTGATCGACATTTTTACTACCATATCAAAGAGCATATTAAATACTATAATGACGCTCCGCCACAGCCTTGTGGACGAGCGCCATCGAGAGATTTTGGCACGCGACCGCGATGTGGTGCCTGAGATCAGCGAGATAGTCGATTTCTCCGCCACCGTAGACCACCCTATTGAACTCCGCCCGAACCGGGTAACTGACGGGATTCAGGTCAAGTGACCTATTTGGATATACCATCTTCTTTAGGTACTCAGCCCCCTTCCATTCCAAGTAGGCGAGAGTTTCTCCAAGGCCCTTCAATTCCACGTGGCACCAAATGCTGTAGCAGTACAAAGTTTTCAAGAAGGCTCGATGTAACCGCCAGCGCACACCTTCAGTCCGGGGTCCACGAAGAAAATATTGGTCTTTCCATTCCAGAGGTTCATACCATCAACCCGCTCCTTGACGACTGCGGTGAAGATGATGTCCTAGACCGTAGCGACGTTGTCGGAGCTGCTCAATGTTGGAGGTCTTCCAGATTGAGAGTACTAGTCTCCGTGTAGCTACCCATGGGTGACTCCACACTAAAAGTCTCACAGCTGCTTGGAGGTGACATGAATTGAAAAGGTCTTCTCCAGCCAGGCTGCGACTGGAGATGACCTCATATTTTGGTGCACATGAAGGTGATGAGAGAGAGCCAGCTCCTGCTTATCGAGGAACATCTTGGGTATCTTTCGCCCTGGTACGCGTATCCACATCTCCTCTCTGGGCTGCGAAAACTTTGCTGACTCGGTCGAAGTGACTTTTTTTGGCTCCCCACGTATAGTAGGATAGCTGGTGGTGTAAAGTGTTCTGGTCTTTCGTTTCTTATATCACTTTTCTTACCTCCTTTTGTTTGTTACCATGGTGCCTTTAGGCAAGTGTTTCACTCTCAGGTCACGCATTCGTCTGGTAATCATGGTCAAGGTCTTGCTTGGGCCGCTTCTGAATTGGGCCTCCCTTGTTGTGTTGCGGTTCCGCGTAGTGCTCCTCCTTCCAAAATTGAAGCAATGAGAAGTTACGGAGCTCGGTTGGAGCTCTGTGAAGCGACGCATAAGAGCAGGTACTTTGTATTTCTTTTTCGCTCACTGAAATTGCATCGGTATAGGTGGACCATTGAAAGCAAAGCACGTCGCACGCGGGGGTTGTGTCTTGTCAGTGCAGGGAGGAAGAGACTGGCGTCCGAGCTTCAGAAGTTTACGACGATTAATTTTTCCTATTTCACGACTATCGACAACGTTGGGGGACTCCTAGTGAGGGAAGGGGGTCGTGCTTACTTGTTGCTTTGAGAGAAGGGGTCACATCTGGCCGTAAGAGAATTTTCCCATGCGCTGGACAACTTTTTCAGGTTGCTGACACCGTCTCACTTGTGCTGTATACCCCCCCCCTTTTTTTTGGTAAAGCTGCCAAAATTCTACTCGCCTTAGTATAGGTGACCTCTACTAGCTCGACGGTAGTTTTTTAGAGGAAAACTGGAGAATTTCTCTACAATAGAGTAACTGAGGATGAGATGGTAGGTGGAACTGTGGAACAGGGGTCGTATTTCTCAAGTCTCCCCGCGTCTAAAAGGCTTTGATTGAAACTTCTGAAATTGAGCCTTTGGAACAGTCTTTATGGAGCACGATTTCTCTATTTATTAAAAATCTCGTCTTCAAAATCTTTGCTTCGCAGTTGAGTCCATGCCAAGCGGAAGTGCACAGGAACAGCAGAACTATGAACAAAAATGAATGAAAAGCCGAGGAGGGAGTAGCGGAAAAGGAAATCAGCCAGAAAGCCACACCAGAAGAACCTCAAGGCTTTTGTACGTTGGCAGCATTTGAAGAGGTCTGGTCGGTTCGCCTCGGCATTTAGTTCTTCAGCCAATCGAGGTTCAGTTGGTAGGCGCTCTACTTCATTACAAAATACCATGGAATTTTTCCATCGATTTTCGATTCAACTGCGATTGCAGCGCCGTGGTCGTTAATTGTTGGCGGAGTTTGGAGCTCAGGAATTCCCTCAGCATCAGCGCATCAGCGTGTGTCACACCCTAATGCGCTGGATGACGCTGACTGCATAATCGTCCCGCCTGCAAAAAGAACTCGGATCTCAGGCACGCAAGGTCGCGCAAATTCTGAAGGACTAACAGAATCACGAAATGCACGCTGGATGATCATCGTCTTCTTCCCTACCCCTCTACTTGTTTTCGGCCGCCTCCTCACAGTTGGTTTGCTTCTCTGTTCATGGCTCATGGGCTGAATGGTTCACCATTTTGAGCTCCTATGTGCTACTGTCGGTGGCTTTCCGCTGAAAATCATTGTGCGCGCTTTCAACTACGGCTGAGTCTCTAAAAGCAGGAAGAGGGCACGGCATGTCCTGAAGCAAATTACAGCGTCGTCCTCCATGTGTATAACCGAGTGCAAAGGGGCTCGAGAACAACGAAGGAGAAATAGGAGACAATGGAAGAACACAGCTGGCGTGTAATCAACAAAAAGTTATGTATTCTATACTGACCTGCCACTCAGCAACGGAATACTCATCCAATTCCTATGCACAGATGTAGAGTACTGACCACGAGAAGATCACTTTGGTCAAAATGGGTGTCAGGTAGTATAATCCTCATTAAGGCCCACAAGTGCACAGCTGTCGAGGGTACTGAACGGCTCAAGAGTATTTCCAGACTCCGCTGACTCGGAAAATATTCGATCTTCTGTAAGAAGGATAATTGCCTCTGATATAAAGGAATGATGTGGAGCTTCATCTAACGGCGATGCGTAAGATAGCCCAGAAAAAAGAGATATCTATGTGGCCACTGCATTTGTATATACTCCATATCCCACATATGGGAAGTCCGTAGCTGCGTATTATTTAAACGTTCGGCAGCTGCGCTTTTCGAGGGATATAGTGGTTTCAAAATAGTTGCAAAAATGACTTTGTCTAGTACAAGATAGGATGGAATTTGCATCAAATGAAATATCTTACGAACAACGCATATTCTAGTGAGTCACGCAGCCACGCCCACTTCATCGCTGGGATGTGTGTGTGGACCGACCCTGAATTGTTGTCTAGCTCAAGATCTAAAATAAGCTAATGTGACTTCAGGTGGGGGAAAACACTCGTTTCGTATGGGAACCCAGACAGAACCTATGCCGTGATTGGAAACTGTTCTTTTCATGCGTAAACCACAATAAATGAGTACCAAAAACCGATCATGCTGTTTCAGGGAAGAGACGTGTGCACGCCTAGCCAAGGAGCTCGGCTATCGAGTCGTCGAGCCATTTGACGATCCGAATGTTATTTGTGGACAGGTGAGTTAGCCGTTAGCAACGTTTAACCTCTAGGTGAAGTAAGTTGGCTTTTTAAACGTACCATTCGTAACTGCCTACAATACGTATGAGACCGAATTATAGAAGCAGGTCGCTGGTCTACCTACGCGGGTCCGCAAAAAGTATACTTTTGTCAAAAGTACCTGTAAACGTATGGGTTTCCTTGCATGGTCTATGAGTTGTACAGTCGTCATCCTTGCACTTGATAGTCAATGTCAGTGCGGCTGCGTGCGGCGCGGTCGCACGCACCCGTTACTGCACAATCGCTTGGACCAGGAAGTTGACATTACTGCCATTATATTCCTTCTGTTAACTCGTTTTTCTATCATCTTTTTGCTTCGGCATACGCGTTTTCAACGAAAAGGCTGAAAAAGGCCTTCAAACAGTGTGGCACGCTCCTTTCTTCCGACGACACGCCCCTATCAAGTGCAAGGATGACGGGCTGTATGTACCGTACGCAAAGCATTCAACCACCTGGATTTGAAACTGTTCCCGTCTTTTTGTACATTTTCACATTACTTTTTATGAAGGGATTGAAGTATTCCCTTCCACCAGTCCTTCTTTGAGATGCGGCACGCCATGTCTACTCCCAGTTTCAGCAATCGCCCCACGGTGTTCATTCGAATGCGATACTGGCTTAAGGATGGAGTTTTTTGGGGGCCGGGGGGGGGGGCCCAAAGGGCCGATTACAGGTCAGTGTTCACCAGACGGATCTTCGTTCCATTTTGCCATCTCCGAGAAGAACTTGCAGGTCTGATTGGCCCAGCCGCAGTAGCCGATCCGGCGAGTTGATTCCACGTACCATTCTTGTGGTAGAGCGTGTCGCGTTGCCGACCTAGCACGACATTTTGCCTTCATAGCCTTTATTGTTCTGAAATATTACAGTGCTAGCTATAGAGTCTCTGAATAACGGACGGGTTATTCAAGCCGTGCTCTAGAGATAAGGCCATTCATTTTCTAGGGTACCATCGGAGCTGAAATCATCGAACAAGTTCCGGACGCCGACGCCATCTTCCTTGCCGTTGGTGGAGGTGGAATGGCAAGTGGTGTGACTGCATATGTTACCGAAGTTCGACCAGATGTCAGAAGTGGGTCTCAACCTTCTCTGCAAGATGGATTCTATAAGTGTATTTCAGTATTTCTCGTCGAGCCGGTGGGGAAGGATTTGGCCGCATATCTGGCCAATGGAGAAATCACAACCGAGAGAGATGTGGTTGATACCATTGCTGACGGAATCAGGGTACTTAGAGTAGGCGACAACTGCTACCCCATACTTAAGAAATCTTGTACGGACAAAATCATTACTGTGGTAAGTTTCACTGACTTTCACTGTTCCTGAAGACCCCCCTGCTTAGTCAGTATAAGGTTACTCTATATCAAAACAGTAGGAAAACCAATCAAAAGACTAAAATCCACAGAAAACACCAGGAGGGGTTGCTTAGTTTGGGAGTTTTCTCGCGCGCGTTTTGCGCCTCACCCATGCAAAGCAGTCTTCTTTTCCAGGGAATAGGGTGATTGTGGCGGATGCAGTGTAGTGACAAGTGGCGCTCTTACCACTTGGGTTCCAATCCCAGGTAGGCACCCGCCCAGGCCAACCAAGCCTTCTACCCTCCGGAGACGGTAAATTGGGACCAGATTCGTTGTGGAGAATAATAACACTGGTACATCGGCTAGCCCCCACAAGTCATTGTGTAGGCCGCATTGCTTTCAATAAGCCACTACGATTCTGAATGAAAGTAGAATGCGTGCCGCATCCAACAAAGGGATTGATCAACGGCGAAGACTTTATACTTTTATCCTTCCAAAGGGTAACTGACTGCATCTTCAGTCACCAAACAGTGTAACCTTCCTACAGATAGAGCAGAAGCACTTGATGAGCTGCGTTCCTACCTAACGCCCAACTGAACAATCGGAGAACCGCGACGAGGGGTAGAGGCGCAACGGTTTTTTTATCCTACCCGTTTGGTCTCATGCATCATTTCGGAGATTTCTCGCGATTCGCATATTCTCTTATGTCACAGAATTCAAAATATTCGAGTGAGAGGGGAGTGGAGCGTCACATGGCTAATGCCGTTTGGACTCCAAGAATTTCGGCACCGAGCTCATTTTTAAATTGACTAAGTCACCAAATCTGTTAAAAATTTGTATATATGGGTAGTTTAACATCCTGATTAAGAATATGTCATTCGCTCTTGTCGCTGGCGCTAATGGATGACACTACGATTATCTGCGCTCTGCTAAGGCTGAGCCTAGGAGGTGATCCTAGTGTCCTCTCTTGACGCCAGCGACAAAAGTGAATGTCATTTTCTTAATCAGGATGTTAAACTACCCCTATATACAAGTTTTTGGCGGATTTGGTGACGCAATTTACAAATGGGCTAGGTGCCGAAATTTTTGGAGTCCAAACGGCATTAGCCGCGTCACATCCATGTTGCGGCTCCGTGTACAAACTCACCCGTGCGCGTGCGGCGCGGTTTCTTCACGGCACCGCGGCGACGGGCGGGCGAAGGGTGATTGCTTGCGTCTCCGCCACTGTGCTTCAATCAGAAGTCCCCTTTGTGCCCCATTATGTGGAAGGAGGAGGAGAAAAAAGAGGATTGAACAAATAGTGAACGCTCGTAGATGAGTTAGTGGTAATGGTGAGCAGAGAATACAGAAAAGTCGAGAATCAGAGCGTATTATTTCAGTCAAAAGCGGAACTGGCAGAATGATTCCCTTCGAATGGGACGTGACGTTATAGCGTTATGAGGTCACAACCAACTGTTGTCAATTTGCCAAACCTCAGCTTGAACTTTCGTGTAAAAGCTACTTGCGTCGTTTTCACAATCGAAGGGAACTATGCCTCCAGTTCTGCCATTCATTGAGGTAAATCGTGATAGTCGACTTATCTGTGATCTCCTACCACTACCACTAACTCACATATGCATCCGCTATCTGTTCAATTCCCTTCCTCTTTCACTTTTCCCTCCTCTTCCTTCCACATAAAAGAGGCTCCTGCATTGGAGCACAGCGCCGGAGACGCGGGCCATCCTTCACGGCGCCGCCCTGCCGCCGCGGCGCCGTGAAGGAACCGCGCCGCATACGCGCATGGGTGAGTTTTTCCCTCCTCCCCCATGTTGCGGCGAGAGCGGCAAAAGATGCAGTAACAATGATGGCGGCGCGGCATTTGCACCACGACTTAGCTGATTTGACCGGGA